TTTTTCTTTCACTTTTATTTGTTTCTACATTCTCAGCCGATAGTTCGCGCTTAAACTTAAGCTTAGACGGCTTATTATGAAACAAGATAACATTAGCTTACGTTTGAAACTAAGCTTAAATTTAGCCGGCTTATCATGAACTTATTACGTGAACATTAGTCTTTACATATATATTACAACAGCTGCTGTTAAATAAAATGTCTTGTATTCAATGTAATGTGTATTTATAGTATCTTGCCTTGGAGTATAATGTTAACGATAACCCTTTTCTCGTAAACATAATACAATGAGACGTTTACAGTACATATAAGATACTATATTTTATTATCACACATTATATCTAATTCTAAGCATCGTAGGTACATGACAAAGTAATCATAAAACGACCAAAGGTCGTTGTAGAAGTTATGTAAAATTAGTTTTATCGCTTCAAAAAGGATAGGTTCTATAAAAATAACCACTTATAAATTTTAGATGCTTAATACTTACAAAACATATTAAGTATTAACATAGGTAATAAAAATAATTACAGAAGTAAACATTACTTATCTGGTTCTTGTGGGGTGGGGTGTAAGCGAATATACATATTATGCATAAGATGGCGCCACTGCTGGTATTTATTATTTATATCGAAGCCTAAATCACGCTTTCAAAGTTTTGGAATACTGCGGTATATATAGAGTAACTCTAAACGAACAAAGCAATTCAAACCATGGTCACTTAAAAGAAGCTAATTGAAAGTTATTTATTGCAAATTACAGAGATTAGGGAATAGATATTATGTAGTTTTTAAATAAAAACATTTCCTTATGTTTTTTTAAAATGTACGAATTAATACTGACCCTAGTTGATAGCGCCCTCTAGTGTATTTTTCGGTAATTTATAATCTCAACGCTACCTATGACAGCGTAGAAGAAACTTCCTCGTTTCGTCACCTAATAATTTGTCAGTGTCTTATCTATGCCCTATATAGTATATTATCTATGGGCTCTACTGAGGTCTGAGGCTGAGCTAGTCGTCGAACCGGTTGGAATGTGAAGGGGGATGTCAGGCGATTCGGCATCAGCAACATAGCGTTTGACCTTGAGGTTCACGCTGCTTATATCACAGAAAACCAGTTCCGTTATTTTCTAGCCACATCTCGTATAATAAATAGAAAAATAATAATTAAAAATTTTGTACAGCCAACTTCAATATAAATTATTAAGAATAACTCAAAAACTATTGGTCACACCTTGATCAAATTTATATGGGACCACATGTGAAGTATCAGCTTTCAAAAAAAAAAAAAGTATTGAAATTGGAATCGAAATAGAAATGGTTTTACACAGTAAAAAGTTATGAGGTAACACACATAAAATAAAAACATACAATCGAATTGATTACCATCTCCTTTTTGAAGTCGGCAGAAAAGAAAAGCACGTTTTAAAATTAGTTCTTATAACAAACATAGATTCTAATATGATTTGGAAAAAAATCGCCTTTTAAAATTTTGGCTTCTTAGGCCCTAGTAGTACATATACGAGTAATGAACGATGTAAAAATGATTAGCAAAGTAATTTTTAACAACTTTAACATTATTAACATTGTCTTAAATGTGATTAACATGGTTAGGTTTGATTAGGTTAGGTTATATCAAATTTTCCAACAGTTACGTAGAAATATTCATAATGACCATACAATGTGATAAATAATGAAGTTTAAATCAGTATTAATTACATAGCCCGATTGGACTTGGCATTATTCATGTTTCCCGGGCATTATGAATAATGCCCAATTAATCACTTGGTCCATAACATTTACTATGCTATAATATGAAGTAAATTAGAATAGAGTGAATAGACTACAACTAAGTCTTACAGGGTTTTCTATGATCAGGGGCCATCATTCTTCAGCACCATAAGGTTCCTTATGAACCCGCCCCTGGACTAAGATAATAGGTAATTTTATCATCAATTTTATAGTGCATAGAGTTTTTTTTTATATATAGGTAGGATAGGGTGACAAACGAGCACACAGCCCACCTGATGGTAAGTGGTTGCTGTGACCCATAGACATCTACATTTAACCTCAATAAAGAATCAAAATGCAGATGCGTTGTCGCCCGTGAGGACTAAGATGGAATGCCTCTTTTGCAGTAAAATGGGTCTTCGGTTCTCTACACTCACCATACGAAACACGGCAGTGTTAAGCTGCTATTTTACGCTGGTATTCTGTAAGAGCATGGTCCTTCCCCGGTCGAGCCGACCCATTCGTGCTACAACTATACTACTAATATAGCTGTAGCATGGCTCTACCACGTATAAAACAGAGTAACAAGTAAAATAACTTTTTTATTCATTAATTACTATTCCTCCCTATCTAAAGGAGAAGTTTAATTTTGTGGGGCTTCCGGGGGAACCTTTACGCTCTTCAAGAAAATTCATTTTAAGTGTGCCAACTCACAATACATCATTTTTCAATAAATCTTTTACTGTCCAGTCTATTAAGCTCTGGAATGCCCTACCTTTGCATATACGTGAGGCACAAACTGTTGTTATCTTTAAGCGATTACTTAAAGAGCATTACTTGTCTCAATCGTTCGGACACCGTTTGGATTAGGCGTGTGTATCTCTTTACGGAAACGACTCACTGATACGAATCACTGAAGTGACACAAAAGATTGGTTCAGTAACAACGTTTCAAATGTATCATTTGTATCTGGAACAGTGAAACATTACTTTGCTCTTTGCTCATTTCGCGCGACGCGTCGCTTGCGAGGCGACTGAGACATGAGCGAGAGAGACAGACTGAGACAATGATTAACTTAACTATTGACTCACGAGTGGCGAGTGAGCGGGCGAAATAATTATAATCCACACAAGTCAGATAGAGATAACAAATAAGAAGTGTATCACTCAACTCGTACGGATTTTCGCTGACGTTATTCATGCACGTAAAAATTACCACTAATGCGCTTATATGTCAAATACTATACGGTCGTTTTTTGTATGTAACGTTTGCATTAACAAGTTGTCATTTTACGTTGATGCGGCACTTGTCAAATTGTTTATATTCATTAGCGCCTGTTTACGAAAACATACTGAGTTATGTTTAGGATTTCTTTGCGTAGTGATTATTGTGACTTTACTTTCTTCCTTTTCATTATAAAGTTTAGAGTTATGATACTTTACGAGTAAATTCTGTGTACATAGACATTGCTGTTTTGTGTAAATGGACATTGTTGTAAATAATGAATTGACATAGTGACATTTTTGTTAAAGTATGAAGGAGAATCGCTTTTATATACAATCTTATTACGGTACACAATAAATAATCTAAGCACTTATATTATTCAGCATTGTTGCCACATAACATTTCACGGATCAGTCAGTAATAAACGCCCGCGACGCAACTTAATGTACCTATTCGGAACATTCTTTCTTTTATATCTTTTGAGTCGATGATACAAATGAGCCAAATAAAATATATCAGTGTTTCGGAACATTTCAGTGATCAAGATGCAAATGTTCCAATCACAAAAACGATACACTTTGCCCACCTCCAGTTTGGATAGATTGTGTGATTATGTACTCGTATTTATTGTATCTATCAGCTTTATATTATTGTTTGAGGAATTTTGTATATATATGTATATTGATATATATGTGTTGTGTGTATATTTAAGTATATATGTTTATATGTATGTATATGTATACATATGTATATATTATATGTTTTACTTTATCTTTTATTATGTGTTAGTAATTCTATTATTTCATGTATTTATTATTTGTATATTTATATTGCACCACCTACCACCTACCTATTCATTGTTTATATTACTTTACACCTTTGGTTGCCTGGAAGAGATCGCTATGTAGCGATAAGGCCGCCAAATTGTACATATTATAATCTGATTTTTTTATGACATTTGTATATTTGTTCGTGGTGTACAATAAAAGTATATTCATTCATTCATTCATTCATTACCGTTACAGTTTAACAAAAGTCCACTGCTGAACATAGGCCTTCTCATAGATTGCCTTATATGGGGAATATTTGCTATATTTGCTGCGCTTAGCAGGCGGTTTATCAACACTAGTGTATTTTCTACCGACTTCCAAAAAGGAGACGGTACGCAATTCGACTGTATTTTGTTTTTTGTTTTTATGTGTGTTACCTCATAACTTTTTACTGGGTGAACCGATTTCGATGATTCTTTTTTTGATCAGACCAATAGTTTTTAAGTTATTCTTAATAACTTATATTGAAGTCGGCTGTACACAATTTTTTATTTTAAATAATTATTTTTCAAGCTCTTAACAGGAAGACGTTCACTGTCTTCTCTCCTTTTACGACATCCATGGTATAATATGGGGTAGTGGTTCCCTAGCGCCGCCGCTACACGGCAACAAATACGGTGAATGAGCTTTTGGAGAAGCCTTTAAGATAACAAATAAATGATAAAACTACTATGATTCTATCTAAAAGGTTGCACAGGTTGAGAATGTTGATTCATGTATAGGGTTCCGTACCCGAAGGGTAGCCAACAACACCCTATTACTAAGCCTCCGCTGTCCGTCTATCTTTTTTTATAGGTTAGGGTGACAAACGAGCACACAGACCACCTGATTGTAAGTGGTTGCTGTGGCCCATAGACATCTACATCTATCCTCGTTTGCACATCAAAATTCAGATGCGTTGTCACCCGTGAGGACTAAGATACTACTAATATAGCGGCAGCATGGCTCTACCACGTATAAAAGACGTCTGTCTGTCAGCGGGATGTATCTCATGATCCGTAATAGGTAGACAGTTGAATTTTTCACATGTGTATTTCTGTTGCCGCTATAACAACAAATAATAAAAATTGAAATTAAAGGAGGTTCCTCTACTAAAAACGTGTTTTACGATGGTACGGACCCTTCATGCGCGAGTTTGACTCGCACTTGACTGGTTTTTATTTTTAGTTACTTCATAACTATTTTTAACTAACAATTTATGTTCCCGTTCTGTAGGCTGAACAAATCTTCAAGAAGATTTGCCCCGGTGAAGAATTTCTCCCTCGTGCCCCCGACCCAGAGGAAATCGTGTTTGAGGATGACGTGACCCATGGACCGGAATTCGAACGTGAACAAGAAGATGAGGCCGACGGCGACACGTCTAAGGAGTAATTTGTATTAGTGTTAAAATGAATGCGTACGATCAGCACGTTACAGCGTGTTCTAGTGTCTCCATGGACCTTCAGACAATTTATTGGAATGTGGAACAAACATTTAAGCGGTATGGCGAATAGAGTCTGTGTCGCGAACATTAACTAGCATGATTATATAATGTTACAGAATAATAATATCATTGAAGTATCAAGTGCGGTTTTTACATTTGTATGCGTCTAGGAAAATGTCTTTAGCTCTTAGTGCTTGAAGATACAGTATAGTGGTATACAGAATTTAAGGAGTGCAGCGTACGAAGAACTTTTGCGAAGGCCATTAGGTCCACGAGCATTTCACTAGGTCAATAATTTTTAGTATTAATATTGATATAGTAGTAACACGCTAGAATGTGCTGAATACATCTAAGGTGTAATCTCAATAAGATTTATACGCTTCGGTCGCTTCACTTTTGCATTCCGACTGGTGCGTTTTGGTAAATTAGATTTAATTCAACTCTTTATTAATTCCAATAGTATAAAAATAAATAAACTTGTTCGAGGCTAAAGGATTATAAATAATTTTCGTAATCATCGCCAACTAATATTTGTAGTATTTCCGAAATAATATATCTAATGAATTTCAGTTAAACCGTTAAGTTTCAATTGAAACTAATAACAGCTAGGTTATCTTGATATATATCAACAAGATAGACTTGTAGCTAATTGAATCCGCTGGAGTATTTTATATCCATTATTCAGAATTGTAGAGACTGAATATTGAGTTTAGTATTATGTATACCAACTGGTAGAGAACTGATTTTATTATAGGTATTTATTATGCCGCACTCTCTGATCGCTCATATTATAGCAGTTTGAATAATATGCATTTAAGAAATTACTCATTTTACAATCATTCAATGGTAGTTGCCCAATAGTGAGGATTGTGCAATTTTTAGATGAGGACGCAGTTTTGAAAACGATAAGTGTAATGTTTTTGGGCGCACCAGTCAAAAGCATAGATAGTAGCACGTTTTGTTTTTTTTTAATAGTTTAAGTTATTTAGCACCTATAAAAATATATTTATTATGAAATGTGCATAAATACGCTTGTGCATATAAAATTCCATTAAATTGTGATTATTAGAAAATTAAAGTATCGTTTTAATTTACTCACCACCCTTCAACTTCTTTGTTATAAATAGATCTTTTATTGTATAACAGTGTGAAGCCTTACTGTAATGTACGACCTCGTCTAAAATAATCCTCTTAATTAAATTACAATGAACTATAATAAAGTAGGTCTGTTAGTAGTTTAATGAGGAAGGTCTAAAAATGTATAGCTCAAGTTTCACAGACTGGTGTTTGTGCGCTGCATTACTTATGTGCCTGCCCATTGTGTGGTCAATACAATTTAGGAAAAACTATATATCCAATAGTAGACTTACAACATAAGACTTGTGATATATTCATTCCATCATCACCAGAATAGCCTGTAATAGTCCACCGCTGAACATAGGGCTCCACCATAAATTGCCTCTTAGATTTTGCCATAGTTACGACACTTAGCATGCTGGGTGGCAACCGCAGTTTTTTTTTATTATTTTGTGTTGTATTTAGGAAGATGCTGTTGCCCATCTCGAGGCATGCGGACTGACGATCGCAATATCAGCCATCTCGCACCTTTGACGCTGTATCCGGTTCTCTATACTCACCTTATGAAACAGTAGCATTAAAACTGCTATTTTACTCTGGTATTCATATACCTAGTGTTTCGCTTAATTACACTCTAAGACCAAGTGTGTATTTCCGTTAGTCACCTTTTACGACACCCACAGGACAAAATGGGCTGATATCTGATAGATTATTTTACGTCTCCACCGTTAGATCAGTTATACACTGAAGAATATATATATATATAATTTTTTTCAAACAAGGTTGACAAGGGAGCACACAGTTCACCTCATGGCTGTGACCCATAGACATCTGCATCTATCCTTGATTAATAAACAAAATGCAGATGCGATGTTACTCCTAAGGATTAAGATGGAATGCTTTTTTTATAGAATAATGGTGACAAGTGAGCACCCAGTCCACATGATAGCTGTGACGCATAAACATCTACATCTATCCTTGAATTGAAACTTTTTTATTCAGATTACAAATAATACTTATTGAAAGTCACTCTTGTTTAATTACCAATGGTTCGGAAAAAACCTCTGCCCTGGGTAGAACCAGTATGAAACCCAACGGGACACAATTAACAACACAAAACAAATATATATATATATATATACCTAGTCAGGTCATAAGTATTGTCACACAGTAAAAACTTTTCTTTTAGAATGCTGGCCACAAAAAAGTTTATTGAATTCGAATTTCGAATTTTTCATGAAAATAAAACTGTATACTTTTTAGAATTTTACTCATTTTTAAATATGGAGTGGAAGCTTAAAGAAGACCGTGTTGCAGTTATTGCGTTGCATCGTTGCGGTTACGCGCCAATTCAAATTTTTGACATACTGAAAAATTTGATTATAACCAAAAGATTCGTTTATCGTACCATCAAACGATACAATGAAGACTCTAGTGTACATGACAGGTCAAGAAGTGGTCGCCCTCGGTCTGTTAGGACTCCAGCAGTGATAAAAGCTGTGAAGGCGCGAATTCAAAGAAATCCCAAACGTAAGCAGAAACTGTTGGCCCTTCAGATGAGGTTAAGCAGAACCACGGTGAAAAGGGTGTTAAATGAATACTTACGGCTTCGGGCATATCGAAGAAAGACAGGACATCATTTGAATGCTCGTTTAATGGACCTGAGACTGAAGAGATGCCGCTCTTTGTTGAAGCGGTACGCGGGAAAAAAATCGGGAAATCCTTTTTTCGGATGAAAAAATTTTTACCGTAGAAGAGAGCTACAACAAACAAAATGATAAGGTGTACGCAGTAGTGAAGAAGCGAGCAACCGTATTCCGCGTGTCCAACGAGGTCATTTTCCATCCTCGCTCATGGTATGGTTGGGAGTTTCTTATTGGGGCTTAACAGAGGTACATTTTTGTGAGAAAGGTGTAAAAACGAATGCAGTTGTGTATCAAAATACAGTCCTGACGAACCTTGTGGAACCTGTTTCTCATACCATGTTCAATAACAGGCACTGGGTATTCCAACATGATTCGGCGCCAGCTCATAGAGCGAAGAACACACAAGACTGGCTGGCGGCGCGTGAAATCGACTTCATCCGGCACGAAGACTGGCCCTCCTCCAGTCCAGATTTGAATCCGTTAGATTACAAGATATGGCAACACTTGGAGGAAAAGGCGTGCTCAAAGCCTCATCCCAATTTGGAGTCACTCAAGACATCCTTGATTACGGCAGCCGCCGATATTAACATGGACCTCGTTCGTGCTGCGATAGACGACTGGCCGCGCAGATTGAAGGCCTGTATTCAAAATCACAGAGGTCATTTTGAATAAACTTTAGTGTCATAAGAATCTATGTTTTGTTAAGTTCATTTTGGTATATAAATGGTTACATAATGAATAAACTTGTTTCAATTATTTTATATTAAAGATGTGACAGAATTTATGACCTGACTAGGTATATATATAGTGATTACCTCATTCCCTGAGGTTATTATCATCCATAAATTCCATAATATAATAAACCTTTTTATATTACAAATTTTGTATATTTGCTGGGATTTTGTTGTTAAAACATATACATAGCCCCAAGAATGAATTACTGACTCTGTGGAGTCGAGTAACTGGTACTACAACTAGTTTGTCTGTTCCTAGTATATACAGAATATCACATTTTTGAAAAACTACTTTTATTTTTGTATACATAGATTATATTTTCATAAATGTTTGGAGAGGCCAATATTAATTTCCTTAAAATTATGTCTGAGAGAGATTAGGTTTTAAATAATAGATTGCCCTTATCTCCCTCTTCTGTAAAACAAATATAATTTCAGTGTCAGTTGCTGCGAGACTTGAATTAAGAACAAATATGCAGATGCAATGTCACCCATGAGGATTGAGATTGAATGCTATTTTTTATAGAATAAGGATGACAAATGAGTACACAGTCCACTTTTTGGCAAGATGCTATAGCCTATAGACATTTATATCTATACTCAAGGATCAAAATGCAGATGCACAACCCCTCGTGCTTCTCTACACTCAATACGAAACAAAGCAGTATTAAGCTGCTGTTTTACACTGGTATTCTTGTGAGAGTGGATTTTTATATGCACTTATGTCGAGATTTGAATAAAATACAGTATTTGAATTTCAATTTTATTTTCAGTTAGATATCACACATCCTGCTTCATTATGCATTAAAAACATCAAATACATACACATAAAAGCTTTGTTTCTTGGTATATTGGAATTTTTCAGAGAATATTTAGTTTACAGTTCTGCTTACAACTATTTAAACCTATATACAAATACTCAGTATATTGAATACCATTATATATACACAGCGTTACAAATGGATATCACATTGAAATTAAAGGATTTTTAAGTGACCTGAAAATTAGACATTTTTAATTATTAAAATAATCTTTTCTCATAAGAAAATAGACCGTGAACATTTCCTTCCAACTGTGCAGAGTATGTCCTCTTCATAAAACGCAAATCCCCTGAGTAGCTCATTTCCCGAAGTATAGCAAGGGAAGGCGCACCAAGATCTTGGCAGCTGTGTTGCATACCCGTTTGCAAATAAGGCAAGAATCTTAACACAGACCCTTTATCAACTATGCTCCCGCTAACTCCCTGTGCCACCCTATGCTTATCAGATTCTTTATGAAAATATCTGCTCATAGCAGATCCCTTACCATCTTTGTTCTCCATAGCTTCTAAACTGCCCATGCCACGGTACTTTTTAAGCCTCACACCATCAGAGAAAAAGTATTCTCCTGGAGCTTCCGAAGTGCCAGCAAGAAGAGATCCCATCATCACTGTAGACGCTCCTAATGCAAGTGATTTCACAATATGACCCACTGACTGAATACCTCCATCAGCTATAACAGGAACATTAAACTGCCGAGCATATGAAGCAACTTGATAAACAGCTGTAGCTTGTGGGCAACCACAGGCCATGACTTCTTGAGTTATGCAAATTGACCCACTTCCCATTCCTACCCTTAGAGCATCTACACCAGCTTCAATGAGATTCTTGGCTTGCATTCTTGTGACTACATTTCCACCTATAACTTCTATTCCTGGGTAATTTGCTTTGATGTATTTAACCATCTCAATCTGATAAACTGAATTACCTTGAGAAGAGTCCAAGACAATAACATCAACTCCATTATCAACAAGTAACTTCAGACGTTCTTTATCTGCTTCCCGAGTACCAATAGCTGCACCCACCAGTAGTTGCTTATTAGAGTCCTTAGAGGCGTTAGGATAGCTTCGTGCCTTTTTTAGATCTGTTCTTGCAATTAAAGCTACAAGTTCTCCTGCACTATTGATAATGGGAAGTTTACCTTTCTTACTTTTCTCAAGTATATAATTTGCATCTTGAAGTGTTACTCCAGATTGGGCTGTTATCATTTCATCTATTGGGGTCATAACTTCTTTTAAACTCAGTTGTGGATTCCCCTCCCTGAAGTCAATATCTCTGGATGTGACTATGCCTATAAGCCTTCCACCCAACTTACCATTTTCGGTAATTGGATAGCCTGTAAATCCATTCTTTTTCTTTGCTTCTATTACATCGGCGACAGTATGCTCTGGCCCCATGCAAACGGGGTCACGGATGAAACCATGTTTATATTTCTTAACTTTATGTACCTCGTTAGCTTGATAATCAGGGGTGCAATTATGATGTATAATGCCTATACCCCCACAGAGCGCCATAGCAATTGCCATATCAGCTTCAGTCACAGTATCCATAGGAGTTGAAACCAAAGGAGCTTTGAGTTGAATCTTTTTTGTAAGCGGCGAAGTCAAATCTACTTCTTCAGCGGTGAAATTAATATATCCAGGTAACAGAAGAAAGTCATTGTAAGTTAGACCTTCACTGTTAGCAAAAATCTCTCTGGCGGATAGCCCATCACGTAAATCGCCTTCTGCGTTCAACATGTTTGCGACCTCCAACCACTTGTATTGAACAATCAATTAATACGTTTTATTTATTTAATTTACGTTAAATACGTTTTTATATTAGTTATTTCTTTTCAATGTTATTTTCTGAATATTCTATCTCGTAGGGCACAAGGTTTTGAGGTACACGTGGTACTTGTTTCTCAAATATAATTCACTGATTCGATAAAACTAATATTATGCTTTTGTACTATATATTAATTTGTAAAAAAATAAACTATATAGTAAAAGCGTTATTTATTGGATTTCTTAAAAAAATAAAATTTGGAAACCAGAAACACGCCTAAACGTGAAACCGGCTTTTAAAAATTTCTAAATTAGGCGCAGTGTAGGGATGTTCGATGATCATCGATGTCAAAAGTGAAAACATCGATGTTTTATCATTGATGATGCCACATCGAAACATCGATGTCAATAAACCCATAATCGATTATTGGATACTTGCGAACACCGCGAACTCGTAAAATCAATATCAATTAAATATTGCATCTCCTCTAAAATATTTAAAATTTTGAATAATTCAGAAAGCTTGAACGCATCGATAAATCATTATGGTGTATCAAATTTAACTGTCAAGTGTCACCTATAATGTCACAGTTGTCACTGATTTCATTTTGTTATTGGTGTCGATGTTGGTTGTCTGTTTCTTTGTCGGTTGTTTTTAAAAAAAATCCGAAGACTGGTCTTCAACACGATCCAATGCACGTTTAGAACAATGTTCTTGGTTCTACCTATCTAAAAAAAATTGCAGTGAGATATTTGACCATAATCGTTATATCAACGCCATCTGGGCGGTTATCTACCGACTTCAAAAAAAGGAGGTACTCCATTCGACTGTATGTTCTTTTTTTTTAATGTGTGTTACCTTATAATTTTTTTCTAAATGACCGATTTCAATGATTCTTTTTCTTTCCCATATAAATTTAATCCATATAAGACTGTCCAATAGTTTTTGAGTTATCTTTAATAATTTATAATGAAGTTAGTTGTACAAAACGTTTAGTTTTAAATTATTTTCAATAACTGGCTCTTTATCAACAGAGAAACAGATTGAAAGGTACTTCTTTGTCAAAATTACTATTTCTTCAATCAATCGCCAAAAAATTGGACTATATAACAAATGAACTAGATATTTTTGAACTTCTTCAAATTTTTTTAATTACTGTTTTATACTACATTGTTTATTAATTTATTTTATTCCATTAATTATAAACCATTAACAACATGACAATTTTTTATTCATCTAATTCTAACCTATTAAATACATGTGCAAAAAATATCGATAATGGCCAACATCGATGTTTTGAGTAGGATAAACATCGAACATCGATATTGAGCTATCGATGTCAACATCGATGTTTCTATAACATCGACCATCCCTAGCGCGGAGTAGGCTTGAGCAAAAAATATCGTAATATCGAAATGTCGATGTTTACTCATAAAAATTACCGATATATATCATCGCTATTTTTAAATGCGATATATCGATATTTATTTTAGAGTATCGAATTCGTGGCAGGGGCTGCTAAGAATCTCCGGTGGAGCGTTGGTTGCTACCTACGAGGACTCTTTCTCGAGTAACTTATATATATATAACTTATAACGCACGCACCCTAAGGACTGACGGGAATATCCTGGAGCTGGAAAAAGAGATAGACAAGTTGCGCTGGAATATTATAGGATTATCCGAAGGCCGAAGAGAGGGGAGGACATGGTAATCCTCGAATCCAGCAACTTGTTTTGTCACCGGGAAGGCGACCATCTGTCTCAAGTAGGTGTCGGATTTATAGTCCACAAGTCTCTCGTTAACAACCGATGGTGAAGAAAGGTTCTCGAGTGGCAGCCTCGTACCGGCAGGCAAAGTGTAGGGCATCCCCCCACTAGATGGAGTGACGACCTGGCAAGACATGCAGGAAGTCGATGGATGCAGGTGTCATAGGACCGTGCTTTGTGGCATTCTTTGAGGGAGGCCTATGTTTAGCAGTGGACTTGTGAAGGGCTGTAATGATGATGATAATGATAATGATGATCGAATTCGTATCGATGTTCTTTATGTATTAATGGACTAAACATGAAACAACAAAAAGAGCTACAAAAGCATTCATGCGTGGTGATCGTTTTTTTGAAATTTTGGGCCTTATCCTTACTTCATATTACGATATATCGATATTTATCAGGCGATATATATCGATACTGTTTAAAAATATCGATTTGATATATATCAATATATGTTATCCCTCTCCCATCCCTAGCGCAGTGCTGCCATCGCAAAAATTTGAATTGCCGTTTGTCACAGCCAGGTTTGCTGTATTTTAAGGAAAAAATAATAAATTGCCGTATTTTTAATTAATTATTTTTAAAATGACTCTTTGTCATTTGTTTCTTCCCCGTAAAGATTTCTTATCATTTCTATCACTTCAGATTCATGTTTATTTAGTGATTTTTTGTCTTTGCTCCTCATTTTTTACAAACTACTAAACTATACTACTAAATATTTTATTTCTATATAGCTTTCTAATTCTATAGTAAATGTTAAATGTAATAAAGTTTCCTTTTTTTAATAATCTAATAGAAATTACTCACATGACATATACAATCTTGCACACGTTTTAATATAATACCATAAATACTAATTATTTCGAAATTGAAATCAAAATCAAAATATTCGGGTAATTTTTGCCGATGAGCTGGAAACTTAATTATTTGTTTTTAAATTTTTTAGGATTACAAAATAATTGATTATTTAAAATGTGCTAATATCAACTAATGGATTAAAAGCAATCATTATATCGATAAATCCAAGAAAAGTTCTAGGCTTTACGTTAAAATAGATTAGAAGATGCTGTGATGTGCAGAATTCTATATTCTCGGTAAATTTAAAGAATAAAATTATCAAACAAATAAAATGAATAAAATTTTAAAAGAAAAATATTTATCAAAGTTTATTGAATTTTAAACAACATTTCCATTGACTTTCATCTATTGATGACAAAAAAAATTAACATAGACAGATGAGAACCAGTCAGCCTGATTCTCGTGTCAGTAGTGATCAGGCCAGCCTTTGAAAATAGTCTTTTAGAAGGCACTAACGTTGAAATAATTGAAAACCACTGATTGTTGAGAATAGCAGAATTTTCATTTTAATTTTGAATGAGTGATTGTTGTTGTCGATTGAAACGTTAATCTTTTTTTTTCTACTTGAGGTGAGTCTGGCAAACGACAAAGATATTATTGATCATACAGCCAATGTTATGAATTCAGTTGCACCACGGCGCACCGGGTGCTTTACGCGGCTGCGACGCGTCGACATGAACTCACGGCGACGGTGGCGCGCCGGCGTGGCGCTCATATCTATGTTGGTGCAATCCGAAGGCGATTATAGGATCTCAGTGACGGCACTATATAGAAAGATCGTGTTTGAACTCATTTGAAAGGGCTCATAAAGACCTAGGTGACTGTTATGAACTCACCTTTCTGATGGTTCAATCTGAAGGTGGATGGCACTAGGTAGAATAATCGTGTTTGAACTCATTTGAAAGGGTTAATAAAGACCTAGTTCAATGTGATTATATTACCTTCATGATGGTGGACTAAGAAGGTGGGGTAAAAGATCTCAGTTATGCCACTACGAAACACCATCGTGTTTGGGCTCATTTGAAAGGGCTCAAGAACTAACTACACAAATAATATAAATATAATAAATAGTACAAACAGTATTATTACTCACTTTATAATATTTTCAGGCAATTAAAAAGCAGCAAAACTCCCAAGTAGGTACAAAATTATAGATCGACTATATATTTTGCAGGCAATAAAAAACAAGGCAGAACGGAAAAAGCATAACCAACTAAATACAACCAGAAGACGAAAATATCTGCGTACTTCAAGAAAACCTACAAGAACCATTAACACCAATTCCTATAAATGACCAAGTTACCTGTAGGTAGTCAGTATTTAGAATTCAATGATTTTTGACTGATTTATTATACGAATACTACACATTTAATAAAACAATTTCGGATTTTATTTTGTTTAAATTATTTTAATTCATGATGTTTGGGTGCTTCAACTTTATTTTAGTATGTAACACGTCGAGAGCTCAACTAGATAAACACAAAAAGCTAGGCTATCCTAACTATTTCCGTTACTGAAAACCGATAAGCATTATCTAGTTATCATAAGACCTTCAGAATGTGCCCATGTCCACGGATTTTTTTGGGCTCACCGTAACCGGAGTGCAAGTTAATCAGTGGAGTGTCGCCTGCTCTACAGATAGGTAATTTAATAAACAGATAAAATAAATAACACGTTTATTAAATAAATAAAATTTACCATAATTGATAAAAATATTATAATATCTGACCCATTTCTTAAAAGTGTCTTAATACTGACCTTATCATGAATAAAAATATCTTTTGAAACGTTAATCTATAGGAAAAGATATTTATATATATATATATATACGGAACGGATTTCATTTCTCGATCGAAGGGGCCGCAGCCGTGCGCGTCAGGTTAGCGAGACTTCTATAAATTAAAAATATTATTTCCTATCTATTAACTAGCTATTCCCTGCAACTTCGCCCACTCTTATTACGATTGGATTTCATGGGTTTTAATGTTTTTGCGCGGAACCCTAGTTCTTTTTTTAAATTAAAAGTAGCCTAAGTTCCTCCTTACAATATCAGCTATCTGCCACTGAAAGTCTCGTCAAAATCCGATTTGGAGATTAGCCGGAACAAACAGACAGACAGACAAAAATTTTAAAAATTGTGTTTTTGTTATAAGTACCGTATGTACTCTCATATGTATTTAGTAAAAAACTGTTATTTTGACATTACAAATAGACGCTTCAATTTTATTTATTTGTATAGATATATATTAATAGACAGGAAATGATATTAAATATATTAAATAACATTTAGATATTATTAAATATGATTTAATTTATTTCTATATATATATATATATATATATATA